GAGTCATTAGGTCATGAAGGCAGAATCCTTGTGGTGGGATTAGTCCCTGTAGGAGAAGGCAAAGGAGAGGTTATTTTTATTCTTCCTTGTCTCTGTCATCTGACTAAGGAGCCATGAAGAGAACTCTCCCTAAATCGGACCATTTAGCATCCGATCTTGGGTTTTTATCCTTCATATTGCGAGAAATAAATTTTGGTAGTTTAAGCCTCTCAGTGATATCTTACGACAGCAGACCTAACTAAGACAGTCTGCAAAGGGTCGTGAACTTCTGTATATTGAACAACTCCTGGGTAAAAGTCCTCATGTGCATATGTATCCATTTTTCTGTGTATTTAATTTCACTACGTATTGATATGTGTCTTTATCAGGTGCTAAATGCACACATATTCTCTTGTTGGACTTCTTGACCTCTTCTATTGATTTACAGTTATGTTCTGTGTTGCAGCTCAGCGAAATCAATGTAGCTTTGCAGGATATCTTAATATTTAGTTAACAGCATAGGTGCCAATAGCTCTTTAAATTCCATCAATGTCAATTTAACTTAGATTGGAGTTTTATTAGCTATAGTGGACTTACTAAAGAATAATTATTTGTAAAATTGATTTCTTGTATTTCAGATAAAGGAATTCCTCTCTTTCCCCCAAAATTTTCTTTCACGTCTGTTATGAACTAAATGTTTGCATTCTCCCAAAGCTCATGCACTGAACTCCAATCTCCAAAGGTGAGAGTATTTGAGGGTGGGGCCTTGGACAGGTAATTAGTTTTACATGAGGTTGATGAAGTGAGGCCTCTGAGATTGGATTCATATTTTTGTAGGAAGCAGGAGATAAACCAAACCTGTCTTTCTCTTCCTGTCTCTCTGTGATCTGTTTCTGGCTCTTTCTCTCCCTTTCTCCTCCTCCCTCTCTCAGCCTTAATTAGAAAACATACCCTACAAGCTAGAAAGAGGGCCCTCATCAGAACCAAGTCGATCAACACTTTAATCTTGGACTTCCCAGAGTTCAGAATAGGGTAAACTACTTAATTTGTGGTCTTCTTTTACAGACCTCTCAGCTGAGACATCATCTCAAAAATATGTTTGTGTTTTTTTTTTTTGTCCTGAGTAAGATCCTGTGTTACACTTTTAGGTGATCTTATAGAATTATTGTCATTTATACTCAGGTTCAAATTGGTTACTTTGGTTTTTCAGGTAGAAAAGCTGTGGAATCCCTTTGAAAGGATTTTCCTTTGCAAGTGCTTGGGATTGAGATGGACTATTTCTATTTCTAAATCTTTATTATGAAAGAAATATTTTATTTTTAAAGAAGTATTTTATGATCATAATGTAGGTACTTTGAATTTTCTACTCATGCAGGACATTCCATTGGTTTAGACCAGAAGTAATGCATTAATTCAACAAACCCCTAGCACTGGGTAGATGCAATCCCTGTGCCGTGACCCTGGGAACAGAAAGGAGGGGATCCCATTTATAAGGAGTCTCATGCAATTATAAAATAAAATGTGCAGGTTCAGTATGGAAATCATATTATAATTTTATTTATAATGAGTCATTGGATACTTTATAATATAGAGAACTAAGCACATACTTTTGACTGTGGTACATTAGAACAGGCTACTAGAATATGAAACATCTAGTATTCAGAACTTAAGTAGAAAAGATTGATGGTATCCGATTCAATTGATATATAGATCCCTTTTTAGTAATACGTGTGTTACTTTTCAAAGATAAATATACTTACACTATTTCTGAAATCTTCACTATCAGATATCTGTTGGACAAGATAAAGAAGGGATGTCTGAGTTTGCTCATGAGTTTCTTGCAATGAGAATATTCCATTTTTTGCTAGTGTCATCCCATGACACTATAAATGTAATTTTTGTGTACATTATTAGACTATAAATCTTATTTTTTTTCAATCAGTGAGAATTCTGGATCCCAGACCATCCATATAGCATCTTCTGCTCCACAACCTCTAGGTCATATGTATTATTTCCACTGACACCTATGTTGTTATAGACAAAACTCATGAGGAACATAAAAATTCTCATTTTCCCAAGACTTTCATTTAATGCCATTACCAGAATGTTTAGAAAGTCTGACTAGATTGAAAGAAGATTAGCTTTTTCACTAGTGGAATTAGCTCATTGTAACAGAAGGTCACCTCCATAACATAAATATACAATGAATAAATATATAAATCATGCAAAATATATAAATCATGGAAAAGCCAAGAAAGGCTTTGTTATAAATTATGACAAGAATGTAAAGAGTACTCTCCTGATGGATTCTAATAAATCCTTTAAAACTAGGTAACTGGTTTGCTCTATGTTAATTCTTATGTTTCCCATTTGAATAACTTTTATATGAAAAGCACTCCCTACTGTGTGGCCAAATCCTAAAATAAGAAACATTTTAAAGACTCTGGCTCTCTTTCTGTAATTGAATTCACAGAAGGAATGTATTTGTTCCCCAAAACATCCACTCCCTCCATCCAAATAACAGAAGCAGACATACTTCACCCCAATTTCAAAAATTCAAAAGATGTATCACATCATGAAGTACACAGTGAAGAGTGTTCTATGGGTAACAGAGATATCTATGCATTTTATAACAATATACAAGAGATAAATCGTCACATATCTCTTATTTGAGATATGTGTGGTCTCTGCATTCCTCTATTCTTATGATAAGGATTTTCTATTTCAGTTTTTTCCCAATGCATTTCACTCTGGGTACTACTGAAATGAGTAGAAGAGACTTTTGTGTTTTGTTTTAAGATTATTTGGAAGAGTACACAATGCTTTTTTGTTGTTGTCGTTTCATTCAAAAAGACCCAAAAAATAATTCTGGACATCAATCCCTAAAGGAGCCATAAACTCCTGTACAGTAATACATCTCCAGGGAAGAAATTGTCCAATTAGCAGACACTGAAGCCTACAATGAAGAAAATGTTGGATTGAGAAGATAAGATTGTTGTGGTTTAATGGCTCCCAAGACCTATTCTCTGACATGAAAGGGAAAAGAGAACATGGGAAAATAAAGGAGGAAAGGAAGAAAGGTATGGATGGATGGAGGCAGGAAGGGAGGCAGGAGGAAAGAGAGAAGGTTGGGCAGGCACTATCAGTGTCTTAAAGTTGGAGATATCCAACTTAAAGGACTGTTATTGTAAATATATCCTCTATTCTTTGGAATAAAATCCTCCTTATTTTTGGAATTTTCAGATTAAAACATTAGATTCTTCATCTCAATGTCAGCTTTCCCTGACTGTTTGAATGACCTTGGTGCGCAAGTCAAGATTACAGAGAACCTCAAGGCCGGAGGCTTGCAGAACACTCAGTGAACTTGGTCCTAATCCTAATGAGCCAAGGGACATTGGTCTGGAAGCAAGTTATTTCATTTATCTGTGCTTTTTTTTTATTTGTAAAAATAGGTGTCACACATGTTTATTTTAGCTCTCTGTAGTTCACAGTAGTGCTGCCCAAATCTGGTAAAATTAAAAGTCACGATAAAGTATTTCCACCTCATAAGAATGTCTTTATGTCATTTCCCTATAAAGAATCTTTGTCACCTTTGGCTGTGTGTGGAAAAAAACTTTCATGAGAATACTTCAGAACCAAATATAATGATACATTAGCAAACCTCTTGAGCACAGTGTGGAGGCTGTGCTAAATTGTAAGTGGCACTTGAGGCCGTTTCCTGCAATGCACTTAGGTTTTAGGACCTCCTTAAGACAGACAAAGAGAGAGCAAGACAAAGACTGAGACAGATAAAAGACTAAGTTGGGAGAAGGGAGGAGAGAAAAAATTGGAGAGAGAGATGCTGATGTGGCCTTTTGTCTTTCTCAATTATAGTCCCCTTACTTCTTTTCCTCTGTCTAATCTTCCAGAGAATTCACTTTATAATAATAAAGAGCAGTTCTCTTCCACTCCAAAAGGAGAATCTCAAAGACCAGGAAGTAAGGGATAAACTTTAAGACCGCAATTTACAGCACATGACATCAGAAGACTTATAGTAATGTAATATGTTGATTTTATCTTCCCATTTGAAAAAAACCCAAAATTTACAAAACCATAGCATAGTCTCAGATGGCATTTAAGAATGAAGAAGGTGAACTTAAATTTATTATTATTTCATAGTCCAGAGATACATGAAAAATGTTTTACATACAGAACACATTTCTTGAAGAAATTATTTATGAATCCAGGTGTCTACCTATTGGGAAAATGAGTTTGCAAGTGAAGGTCATTTATAATAAAGGTTATTGGCAGAAAAAGTGGTGAAAAAATTCTAGAGATCACTACTGGATAATAAGCACATTTACGCTCTCAGAATTGACATTTGGCCCCCAATAAAGCAGAAGCCTATTGTTTATGTCACTTTTACAATATTAGAAAATGAAAACATTTTAAACATTTACATTTTACTGTTTACTCATAGGCTAGATAAAGACTTAAGACTTGATGAACATACACACATATATACATATATTTTTTCTGTATGTTCAAACACATGTACAAGTTGTGACATATAACATAAATGGCATGTACATGTTCACTAAGACATAGAAGAGAGAGTATGTAGGAAAAATAAGAAAGAGAATGAGCAAATAACTTCAGCAGTCAGTCTGGAGGAAGTAACGACACATATAGGTTAATTATTTCACGTATTCTTTTTGCTAAAAAAATGTGCACTCTGAGGGAGACCTTTGTTCCACATACATGTGTGCTGCGCCTGCTCCTTCCAAAGGGGTTAGTTTTGTTCTCATGCCGTGGGAGCAGGTGGCATGAAGCTGTTTTGATGAGGTTAAAAGGCTCCTCCCCTCTTTCCCGGAGCAGCAGCCCAAAGTACGTCAGCAGTAATTGTGTGCGTGGCTGGGCTGTGCAGGGAGGGAGGAGAGAGAATTGATATCAAATAAGGGTATCAAACTGAGATCCGGATGTTCCTTTTAAGTTGTTGCTCATTTTTGGTGGTCTCACCAGGGGTGAAGAGCTTATAACTTAAGCATCGTTTGCAGCAAGAATAGTCATTCTTTATGGATTCATATTTTTCTATTCCAAAGACTAAACTGGTGCTATAGTGGCTATCAGTAAAGGGGTTTCTTTACCCTCCTTTCATTTTATTATTCACTCATCAGACTTCAGCTCAGTTGGATAAAAGAGAGAGGTTCTGTTGCCTAGATGTGATGCCTTTAATGAGGATGGGAGCCCCCAGGGAGTCCAAATCCAAAGTAGAACGGTCCTGCTTTCGGGTTTCTTGCCATTTCTTCGGTTGCTTCTCTCTTTTCCATTGGGTCTAGGGAGCGGGAGCTATCCAAGGTGCTAGGATGCCGGCACCTTTGCCGCTCAGTGCAGACGGATTGCAGGAGGAGAAGAGAGAGATTACTGCTTATTTCAGAAAGGTAGGTTCTTTGTTTCAGAATCCCTGATTAATCAGCAGCAGCAGCATCAACAGACTAAGCCAGCTGGAGAGGCGAGGGAGAAGCAGGAAGGGAGGGAGTCAGGGGCAGGGAGGAGGGAGTGGAAGGAGAGAGAGAGAGAGAGAGAGAGAGAGAGAGAGAGAGAGAGAGAGAGAGAGAGAGAGGGAAAGGAGCGAGCGCGCTGGTTGTCACGGGGGAGGGATGATGCCACAAGCTAGACTGCTCTAAACCTTCTCTACGTACGGAAGTGGCAAGGAAAAAAGGCAGCTTTTTGGACGAAAGGAGACATTTAGGGAGGACGTGTCTGATTTTTTTTCCATTTATTTTTGTCTCCACAGAATATAATCAAATGAGGTACCTTAGCCAGCCTGGTGATTGCTTCGGGTCTTGTAATCAGCTGTGTGGCAAAGTGGGTAAAATCATCCAATTTCTTCCCTGCTGGACCTGGAAGGAGAGGGGCTGTGTGTTCATCCCCACCCATTAGCTGTGCCCTCTTTTCTCTGAATGTCAATTTAAGGAAGCGAGCACCTGTCTTCCACCCGTGCATCTTCCTAGCAAACTTTAAAGGCCATTTTATCCGATAGGAAGAACATCCAGAATCCTCTGATTACTAGTGATGCAGAACCTGGGATTCAACACTTTCCCTGTCCTCATACAATGCACTTTAATTGAAGAAAAACTGAGCTGAACTACAAGTCTGTTTCTTATGGTGCTGGATTACTCCTACAGAACTGCCCTGAGACCAGCGTGAGCGAGCAAGGGCTCTGGCAGACACAAGTCACCTTCTGATTATTGCACTTAGCTCTCCCTGGGGACTTGCATTTGGGTATGTATCTCATTTTTCAGATTCTCTAAGCATGCTAATTGAATCCGGCACTGCATAGATCAAGCGATCTGGTTATGAAATGCAATGGATTTTATAGTTAGAGATACTTCAAGCTGAAGTTTGCATGTTTTATTAGGTGGAGCAGAAATAAAGCCACAGTGAAGGCATCCAGAGCTTCAGTGAAGCCTCTGGCTATTTTTATTCCCTTGCCCACTGAGTTCCATTACCATGGAAATGGTAAAACCAGATTTTCATTAGTAAAATAAGCCACGTTGAATTATTAACAGCATTGAAAATATTTTCCAGGTTATTAATTGGCATTCAAGTTGTGCATGCCACCTATTTATCTACTATTCCATACCATAAATATTTTATGATAGTCTCTCAATACATTTGTGTCAGCAAGTGGGAGCCCAATTTTGCCTTCTCAAAAAAAAAAAGACATAGTACCTCAAAAATGTCAAACTACCAGATGCACACTAAGGCTGATACTGCTTCTTCCTGACTAATCAGATATAAACTTCTTTGAGAAACATAATTTAATATTGATCAATATTTAGAAGGTGTCATTAGTCTCATCATAATAAATGTTTTCTACAGAACTTTAGGTGGACTTATTTTTACTCAGGACAGATGTGTATTTTGTCGAAGTGTCTCCATTCTGATTTTTTTCAATGATATGGGAATATTATGCTAAATAAATGTAGGTGTTTCATGTTTGGATGAACCGCTATATTCAGTAATGTATATTCAGATCAGGCAATTTTAAAGTTGTTTTGCTATCCTAGAAATGTATTTTTTCTAAATACAGTAAGGAAATAAGAATAACTAGCTGAAGATGTTACAGGATATAGTTTTAGTCATTTTAACATCCAACAATTTATAATCAAGTACCGTGGAATAGTACATAGAGCAAAAATGAAAATTCACTCTATTTCTAATTTTGCACATTTTAGACACTGCTTGCATTTTTTTATATTTTTCCAAGTGCTAACTGCACAAATTAAGAGGGAAATGTGAGGCATAAATGCATAATTTATTTTATTTGCCTATGGAAAATGCAAAATATGTTATCCAGTCCAGCAAAGACAGGCACTCTGGGAAAAACATTAACAATTTAGAGAATTAGAAAACAGACCTTATAAAAATGTTTCAACTTCAGAAAGGACTAAAACTAAGTCTAAAAGCTTGAAGCTTCTGGAAAGTTTAGAAAAAGGTGTGCAAAAATTCCAGGAAAAGGAACCTTGGCTATTGTTTGAAATAAATCCGTCATAGACTCTCAGTTGAATTAGATGGTTGTATTGTCAGCAATTTATTAAACTGACTGCATCTACTTTTTAAATACTGCCTTGTAAGCGTCTGGAACCAGCTGGCCCATGGCTCCAAAAAGTACCCTAGTCACTAGCACTCTGTAGAGCCTCTAGTATTCATGGAAATGTGCATTCTCTTAAGACACTCTTGACAGGCATGTGACAATCTGGAAGGTGGATGATTTTTGATTTTTTTATTCAACCACATATAAATGATCTATGCCCATTATGCCAATTTGTGTGTGAGAGAGGGAGAGATAGTGAAGAAAAACTCCCAGAAAAGTAATCTGCTTTCTGAGAAAAAAAAGCAATCAGTGTCTTTGTAGTCCCTTCAGCAGGCTTTCTTGGTTGTAACTTCAACATTTCCCATTTTGGGCAGAACAGCTGCATTTTGATGACAGTGAGGATAAGAAAATGAGCATGATCATTTGTGGGGTTGGGGATAAAATTTTAAGCATAATCAGAGTGGAATGATAAGACAGATTATATGATTTTATAAGAAAAACAATGTTGTTTTGGTTTATATGGGTTACAGATTATAACCAGGCTATCTGGTTTGTAGATTTAGTCCCACTGTGTGAAGTCATCAAATTTTAGATTTTAGTTGGCATGATTTTTACATATGTGTATGAAGTTTGATTACATAAACAGTTATATCTCATACACAATGTGTTTTTGAATTGGTCAAGCGAATGCAAGAATGCAAGAGTGGTATTTTTCCTGCTGACCAATAATAAATAATAGTCAAAACTGCCCTGGAAAACTTTTATTGGATGAACACTGCCTGGCGCAATATGACTCTGACTCAGGAAGGGTGCACTGACTGGAGTGGCAGGGAAAATTAAATTTTAATAGCAAATTCTAATATATTCTTTCGGCATTAAAACAAATGTTGTTTGAAAACCTCAGAAATACATAAAGGATAGAGACTAGAAGCTTTTCCCATCTGCAAATAGAATAAAAATATGCATACAAAGTAAAAGTAAAATGCTTGTGTATTTCCTGTGTGTATTACATTCTTCCTGTTCATCACAATTACCATTGTAATAATGGCCCAAAATGAATTTTACCATATTCTTTTCATAAGCTTATCTGACAGGGTTAACTATGGACTAAAATTTAGAAAGCTTCCTATGGAACTTCAGTCTTATGGAGTACTTCTCTCCCAAACCGGAGCTTTTGATTCTTCTACCAATCAGTATAGATGGCAAATACCCAGGTAAATGAAGTTGCAACAACTTTACATTGTGCAAAACCAAAGTTTCAGAAGGAGAACAGCTTCATTTAAGACATTTTGAGTGAGCACTAAGAAGATAAAAAGATCTAGCATGTCTAAGATGGGAGGACTTGTTCATTCACAAGATCCCAATACATAGAGGACCCTGCTTTTGGAAAATGCAAGTACAAGGTCCATTGTAATCTCTACATGATAAGCTGCTGTACACATCCACCTGAGCCAGGCTTTTCAAAACAGGCATGGTTGATATCAAAGTGCACAGAATTACACCAGTGGGGGAATTTGTTCTGAATTATAAGCAAAAGGGAGTGAAGTGATTAAATATAAGTGAGAGGAATTTGGCATTCTGAATATTTATCTGACTCCCTTTGTACATCTTCTCTTCAACAACAACCTATAACTAATAAAAAGTCTTTTGTGTCATAGGGAGCTCAGTCGAGACAAAGGTTGATACCACATTCAATATCCTTTGTAAATTGAGACTATTCATAATTGTTACTTTAATTGACCGAGAATATATTCCACATAAATGCATGATTTAATTAACTTTATTGCAGATATAGATAGATAGTTACTTTAACAATGAGTATTCTGGAATGTTATAGCTTCGGTGTTCCTTGAATAGAAACAATAGTTACAGGAAAAAATAATTTTTAAATTTTATGTCCCTTAAAATTCCATTTGGACATAATTAGTTTATATTCCCTATGTGCACATAAAGGAGAGTTTTATATCTGTAGAAATGATTTCAAAGAAAAGTAATGCTACTTTAAACCCTAGGTTCAGCATTGATAAGAACAGTGATGGCTTTACATAGAAGAAAATAATAAAGCGATTAACTCAGTGTAAAGTTAAATGTTTTAGATCGGATGGTAACAAGCCTATGGACACAGACTGGTGTATTCTGGCTGAAATGAGTGAAATTTCAAGTTTGGGGAAGTGTAACAATATTATACAAAGTAACCTTTGAGAAGGGTGTGGTCAATAGGATACAGTATAATCAACAAAGTGAAAGAACAGAATAAAGCTAAAAAAATTTATAGCCACCATTTGTACTTAAGCCAGTCTTTGTAGCTCTTATGTGATCATTCACCACTGTATAATTCTATACATGGTAAATTAAATATTAAACAAAAGGAGTTTGTTGTGAATGCAGAATACACCTGTGGAGAAAAGATGAAGGCATGGAGTGATGTGCAGATTGTGTAGGGATTCTGACCCGGTCATTTAGGTGGCTTCCCAGAAAGATTTCCTAACATGAACCACAAGTGTTGGTCACAAATTCCAAGAAATACATACAGGATGCTGTATTACTTGGACTAGTACTATACATTTGAAGATAATATTTCTGTCTTTAATATAAAGGCCAGACACTGGACCGGTTTCTAGCCATTACTCCAGGAGAGTAGATAGGCAGGGCTAACATCTCTAATTTGTTTTCAGCCAATCTGGCTGAGGATATTTAGTGGTTCAATCAAAAGGACTTCCCCTGTCCTACTCACTCTGGTGTCATTATCTCATACCCTAATTAGTTAGCAATTTAGTAAAGTAAATTCTTACTTCTTGATACATCTAAATGTGTGGCTTTGAGGAGCAGGCCTCATTTGCCTCTTAACAAATATGGTCTTCTAAAATGCCAACTTTAGTCCAGCCTTTGTGGAATACCCACATACAGATGCCATGCAAGGGGAGGGAAATAATTAGATTTAATGTCCAACATTCAAACCACATCTGAGTCTTTGATGATATAGAACATATGATACTCAACACCTATCTTAGTTGTAAATAATTATTTCTGAAAGACAAAAAGATCCATGGTCTCACTTGTTTGTCCTCAGTACATCCAATGGTAACAGTTGTAGCAAGGTAGATAACACGAGGTCCGCTCTTCTTTGGGGAGGCTTTGAATCTAATCACTGTGAATCAACTAAGGTTCAGTTCCCTGAGAAATCCCTTTAGCTTGGAAGGGCAGAGTCCAAGGATTTAAGAGATGGGATAAGCTTTGTGGTACATAGGTCCTACTTCCCTTATTTTCTAGATGTAGACAATAGGGACAAGGGATAAGTAGTAAATCAAGAAACATTTGATTGGTGGGGAAATGTGTTAATTCCGATTTTGCCCATTGGTACATCTGTGATTTAGGAAGGTGATCTACTCAAATATCCTGGTCATCTGTGTTTCAAAGTACAATTATGATGATCCAGGAGTTATCTTATTACTAAATATAATCTTGTACACAGTTAGGAATTAGGCAAAATATCAGTTAGGAATGTTGCTGACAATTACGATCATGTTATTGAACACTTGTACATGCATTTTTTGACTGAATCCTTAGAACCCAAGTCTGTTTCAACCACCATTTTTTCAGTGTAGAAAATAGAACTTAGTGATGTTAATTAGTTCCCACCTCATAGACTCGAAGGTTCCTTAGTTTGGGTATTTGGGCCTTACTACAAAACTTTTCATCCTTGTCCATTCAGGCTGCTTCACAGCCTCCCCTCCATCACAAACTAGCTTCTATGTAAGGAGGAGCAAACACACAAAAAAATGTGATGGCTAAAGATTGGCCAGATCATAGTCAGTGTTTTGTTGGTTTGTTTCTTAACACAGCATCTCACTATGTAGCCCAGGCTGCCCTTGAATTGGCAATCCTCTTGCCTCAGCCTCCTGAGTGCCAGGATTATAGGTACCTGCCACTATTCATGCTGCTTAGTCAAGTCTTGAAGGCTGCATACAATTGTTGCAAAGTGCTACTTGTTTACCCTTAAAAATGATAAAAAATAAAACATGTATGGACAAATAATGAAGTTCCCCTGAATCAGTGCCCTGATCATACATAATATAATTAATTACTGTTCACTTCTACTGCATTGTGGACATATAGAAGGACACAATTCTGCTTTAATTAGTATCTGGTTTAAAATAGTTGCTCAATAAATACTTGAAAAAAATGAATATTCATAGAATTAATCTCTTCTGAAAAATGACAGGAGTATTTATAGAAAAATCAGTCCTGCTTTCAAAGTGTGAAATTTTACTAGATCTTATGGTTGATTTTTATTTCAAAAGTGTTCCTCTTCATTTAAAAATTATATGACAATCTTTAGTATAAACATTTTGAGTTAATATCATTTAATATTTTGGGAGAACAAAAATAATTTAAAAACCCGAACAGTTGAAAGACCACATACTAATGCTACTAATGTTCACAGGTTAACAATTAACCTTGTTAATACATAGGGTATATAAACTGTATGAAATTATTGGTGTCATTTAGCTTGGGGGAAAACTTCATGGAGAAAATTAAAATCTCTGGATGACAATGTCTCATGCAACTGGGAAATATATAATTTTGCTAGAGGGCAGACTGGGTGTGATTGTCACCAGCCTGAGGCATTATCTCGGGAACCCTTGTGACACGAGCTTGGGTGGCTTAACTTCAGTAAAATTAATTGCTACAAAGTTAGGCTGATCGGGTTTTATCCAGGCACCTCTAATACTGAAGTCCTAGGTAGAAGCAAATTCCCGATAGTGGTAATATTTTATCTGTCCCCAAAGTTCAATTGTTTGCAAGAGTAATTTCATCTTTCTGTGTGCACACCACTTAAGCATCTAATCTGATGGAATGATATTAAAATGCAATTCAATCATATTAGACAGTGGGACTGAAAAGATCATTTCATCTCTGACCCAATAGGGCTTAGAAAAAAGCAAAACAATACAAATTTAGCATAACAAAAAATTTAAGTCAACAAATGATTCTATACAGGATCCATTTGTACATATTCTTTGGGAAGAAATTCTTAAATTCAAAAATGAGTTGACTGGCAGCTGAAAGGCTGATAAACTTTGATGAGAAGTAAAATTCTCATAGCTATAATCTAGGCTATGAATATGGTTATAGTTTAAAAAGAGAAAGATGGTGAATTGTAATAGAAAGACATGAAAGCCTGAAACTTTTACATTAAATAGATGTGTTTTCAAAATAAATCTGTTAGACTTGTGAAGAAAGTACAAGATGTAAGGTAGTTTATAACTTTAACTGGAAAATGTTTTCCTTGTGTAATTGGTTTTGCTTTTTAAATCTGATTCAGTTGTACCAATTTTTAAAGCCATCTTAACCTAAAAGAAAAAAAAATTATATAATTAATGTAACTTTGTTTTTATTTCATTTTTTCACTATAGTACAATTTTGCTAAACCTTTGCTGCAATTATTTGGAAACCTCCTTTTTGAGACATGAAGATTTTCATAGCCCATTTGTTCATCCATCCACCCATCCACACATCCACATTCATTCATTTAATATTTTCATTTCTGACAATCTTTCTCTAGTAGTTTTATTATATTATCTAAATTTAAACGCATATTTTTGTTGATTTCTACTCCAAGTCCTTTCATACACACTTGTTTTAATCATGACAGCCACTGAAGTTTATTACCATTATTATTTTATAGATGACAATAATATCTACTGGTTGAAAGGCCCATGTTTTCAATTTTGTTTTGTTTTGATTGTTTCTCAGTAATATTCTCTGTAGTTTAAGTTTTTATACCTTTATTTAGTGATGGTACAACAACTTATCCCCACTACTTGAATTACCAGACTGGTCTGGATTAACCTGGTCCTGGTGACTTACAACATTTGACTGAGTACAATGTATGGTAAAGCCATTATAGAGGACCATTATATAATATAAAAGGAATTGTCTTCAATAAAGATTACAATAGAAATATAATGTCTTTATCTTTGAATCAGTGCTGTAATGTTTTGTACAAACTGTTCAGATGTATAAATTTTATTTTAAATTTTTAAAGAAAACACATGTAAGATTTTCCCAACGAATTTTTTTATTTGAAATTGGCCAGAAACATTTTTATGACAATGAAAGATACATAAAACTTTGATCTGATATAACTTACTGGTGTAAGAACACATTTTTGAGAAACAAAATCATGACTAGTTATGTAAACCAAATATTTATCTTCACATGCAGTATTTATATTTTCTCATCCCTTTGCAATACACAACCTATGGTCTTCATCCTGCTTCTGTTGCTTCTTTGAGGGAGTATCTGATGCTCAGGTAGCCCTCATTTAATATTTCTTCAAATACCGCAGTGCCTGTAATTTCTAATAAAACTTTTTCTCAAATGGATTTTACCATAAGCGATGGAAACCTGACCTGACAAAATGTTAACGGCCATAACCAGAAAATTGCTTTTTATCCCTACTTAGTTAAGGATGCAATGTGTTCTCACCTCGCAGGAAGAGTTCCTTTCACATGATTCCCTCCAAGATGATGAGTGTGAACCCTGAGGGAGATCCTTTGGACAACTTTCTACAGTACATCGAGGATATGGGCATGAAGGCATACGATGGCCTGGTTATTCAGAACGCATCCGACATTGCTAGAGAGAACGATCGTTTGAGAAATGAAACAAACTTGGCCTATCTGAAGGAGAAGAATGAAAAGCGCCGAAGGCAAGAAGAAGCAATAAAACGGTAAGTAGAAATCAACGCTTTGGGCGAGGGTGGCACCTGAGGTGATCTGCAAGTGCTACGGAGGCCGTGGCATCACCTGATGGAGAAGGGTCTCTCAGCAGAGGTGGCTAGGCGTGACGAGAGAAGGGACAGGAAAACCTGCAGGAATCCCTGCCTTAGTTAAGGAAAGCTGTTTACTGTGTGTGCATGTGGAAGCACAGATGGGCTGGGGCAAGAAATCAGTTCCTTTTGAATAAGAGCTGGTGCTCAACTACCTCATGGTAAAAGCACAAGGGAACACGTAAACACCTTACTAGCGTCAATTTGATGAAAAGTCCCACCTTTCGTGTCCTTCGTTTATAGTCCTTACCTTACAATAGGGTTCATCTTCTTCCTAGAATAGAACCAACCAGGCCTCATCAGTAATTACAGGTCTGTGAGCCTCGGAAGGCAGGTGGAATCATCAGTGTGTGCACACTGTGCAGAGTTTTAAGGCTACTACATCTCTAATGCCAAGTGCCCTAGGTTTGTTCAAATAAAATTACCTTTATGATGCCAAACCTACCAGCTGCAAGTTAATGAGCACAGACTGCAGCCTTCCAAATTGCTGTGAAGCTGCGCACGGCACTGACACAATCTATGGATTTTTTAAAAAGAATGTTACGGTGTTTTCAGGGTGTCTGTGTGTGGGGGGGTTATTGTTGTTGTGGTGGTTGTTTTTGTGGTACAGGGAGACCCATGTTCTGTTTGATGGAGTCCTGCTTTGCCATTGGATTCTATTCAGCAAAAGCCCAACATATAGGAAATAATTTGTATCAATTAGCAGGGTAAAGGAATGATAAAAGTTAAGATATTCTGATAATTCATTGTAGATTTCTCATCTAATTTTGTACTAATACTTTCGCCTACTCTGTGAGTACCATGATTTAAGGAATATGAAATATTCTTTTAAGATGAATGATATATGTTTAGAAAGAAGCTAAAGGTGTTGCACTAGTCCAATCAGTTAGTAGAAAATAATACTCTCTTAGAACTTTTTTCTGTAAATAAAGTAAGAAAGTAGACTCCTGTGTACACGTGAACATTTTACTTTAGTTTTGCAACTGAGTTTTGAAAAATTCAAAACAGAAAGGATAGCTGATGTGATTTCTAAATAACTTCAGTTCTATAATCTAAACTCTCCTAATATTGGTATAAAATCTCAACAATTAATTGCTTTTATAAATAGGTAAATAAAATGACTTACTGAATCATTTGCATATGTCTACAACTAGCTTCTGTGTTTAATTAGCAGCATTTAACAAGTTTCTACCTAAAGAACCATAGATACTGACAAAAATGCCTAAAATTTAGGTGGCTTACTGTTGAGTATTCAAAGGGATATAACCAACAACTTGGAGGAAGTCTAAAGTGCAAGGAACATTGTAGCAGGAGACACAGCAAAACCACTACTGAAAAATCAGAGGTCTAGAAAATCCCGTTATGTAATCTAGATTTTGGTGAATTGGTTACTAATATTAGTGAAGTAATATTTTCCTCAATTATTCTATGTACTGTAAAAATAAAAATGATCCATTTCACATATTGAATTGAAAAAGCCATAAATTATCTGAGGACATTTATTTCTACATCCATCCTTCAGCAAAAAGATAAAACTTCAGCTAGTTTGAGTATAGTGCAAAATCTGGGAGTAAATCACCCTCTAATTTGTTCTAATTGTGAGAAAGCACAGTGTTTTGTAGTAGGACAGCAGTAGTAAACGTGGTATAAGGTAATGAAGTTATGGGCTTTGTGATACATGAAATACAGGAGTTGAGTAAGAGAAAAAAACAAGAGTGGTTCTCAAGTTGTTCTGCTGGGTTTTGTTGTTGTTACTGTTGCTTTTTGTTTGTTTGCTGTTGCTTCAACTAGCAGAAGGTTTCCCTTTAATGAAATTGTAAAAACTAAAATGGAATCAAATTTAAGGTTGATGCCACGTGGGTGACAGTGGTTAAGCTTTGGTGTCAACTTTGTCAAGGGCTTAACTACTCAAGTAGAGATTCTCGAGTGTCGGCGAGACACAAAAAAAGAAAAAGAAAAAAGAAAACAATCTGACATAATAGAAATTAAACCTGGAGGTCTAAACATGAGAGTCAGAGTCCATAAGCTTCATATTTGAGAGCCTAGATGGAGACAACTGGGACTTAAATTGAGATGGAGATTGTCAGGGAACCCAGAAATATTCTTTGGGTGCCTATTGGCTCACACAATAGTAACAACAGAGATATCCAGTATGACTGGTAAGACCAGAAGACCCACAGAGATTGGGCTGCCTCAAAGTATGGAGTGCTAGAGATTTTGTTCATAAATCAAATATGAGGGAGCCTGAGGACTGACCACATTAGTGGTGTTAGGAACAATTTCTCTGGAGAGTTGGGAGTAAAAGTCATAAGGAAAAGGGAAGAAAGGAATGAAACAGAATATAGAGATCTATTTAGAGGATTTCTGAGTCTAGAAGTAATATAAAAATATGTGGTTGCAGAAGCCCATACAATTTGTGCAACTTATGGCAATTCAAAAACCATTTTCATCCCAAAGAGAGAGGAGAGTATTAGCATAATTTATATGTTGATGTAAATAAGGCCAATGGCAAGCAAAATATTAATGACCGAGGAGAGGGAGACAAACTGACGGTGAGAACTTTTTTGAATAGGTGGGAAGAGAGGGATTTGGGATGGAGCACAGACAGTTAAGCCACCATAAAAGAAAAGACACCACAGTGTGTGTGTGTGCATGAATGACGACTGAAAGAAGGAAGGGTAGAAAGCAGCCCAGCCCTCAAACCTGGTCTGGCAAAGCCAATAGCCTAGACGGAGATCAGGAGCCAAACTATGGAAGCGTAATGTGTAGCAAAACAAGACTATTTGCAAAAAACTAGAAGGTATGGAAACAGAAGGCAGAATTACTGAGCAGCCCCATTTCCACTTTCCTCCAAATGCTTCAGAAACTGAAGCTGCAGAATGGAATGAACAGCAGGATCTGGAGCCTCCGTCCAAGCTGTCCTTAGAAAGTAGCGTACCAGGAAGATAACAGAGCATGTCACAGCAGGGTCACCTGCAGCCATGAGCCTCACTCAGTAGGACTCACTCCCTTAAAGGTAGCAAGGTGGAAAGCCAGGTGCTCATGGTAGATTCGACCAAGTGCACTGTGGAAAATAGTCATTTATAGGGTATGCCTCAAACCTCAGTGCGGTCCCTCATACATTTTATTACTGTCCCAAGAATGGAAAGATGTGATATGTGTCTTGCTGTCTCCAACTCAGCTCTGTATCAGTCACCCTACCCCAGATATTTTTCTCGAATTCCAATTTAAAGGTCTAATTATATTTGAAAGAATCAGAATGCTAGTAGAGCTTCTTAGATTGTTGAAAATTCTCAGTTTTCTCCCCTGTCCCGATATTGTTGGGAGAAGAGGGGTTGGGGAGAGAAATGTAAAAGAAGCCAGACAAGCGGAAACTGGATGGGAAGAGGAGATCAAGCCCTCTCACATTGCCCTATGACAAGACTGGCCATATTTATCTTACCAAGTGTTTTTCTCACCAAGTAATCCAGCTCAGCATTATCGTTGCCCAAATCCACTTTTATTTTTTGCTCATATGATGATCAATGTCCTGGAATTTTGACAATTTAAAAATAATGATAACCTCTTATTCCGTCGTCACTTTTGGAATCACTTCAACTTTCTTAATGAGAATGTGTGTTTTAAATATTTTAAGAAAACCCAAAGCAAAACTTTAATCATACAGGTATTTTTAGGTTCCAGGAAGGGCAGCAAACACAGAATACTCATACATAAATTTAACACATAGTTTAACATTTTTAACCATATGATTTATATCCAATAGAGAGAATTCAACATGGCAATAATGAACACAGGGTAGTTAACTAGTTAATGTGAACACAGCTAGTTCATGTGTCTACCAAAAGCCCTCTTCCGTATAAGCTATGATTTAATATGTAGAATGTAAATGCCAAACTCTAAACATGAAGCATGTCTGACCGTGAAAAGGCATTGATGGTACTTCTCTGTGAAATTCTCCACTTGCAATTTCAGAAATGCCCAGAAAGCCAAGGATTGCTTAAAAAATGGAAATAGAATTTTGTATGCTTGACCTTCTGGATCACATATGTGCTGAAATGCCTTTTATGCAGAAGCTGGGAAGCTTAAAACACTGATCTCTGAAAAAAAAGAAGATCCTCATCACTTTCCCAGGGAATCTAAGTCACTTAGGCTTTCCGAGTCCAGTTCCTTATTTTTAAACTACCTTGAGCACTTGTCACTATTAACTTTCTTGTTCCTTCATTTCCATTTCTCACATGAGATTTTCCTGGAAGGGCTTGCTGAGTGAAAAATACTAAATAAATAAAAAGTGATGCTGCTAGTGCTTTTCTTAACAGCTTCACATAACATTTGGTGAGAAAGAAAGATTTAAAGGAGAAAAATTAATGGAAAAATGAAAAAAATTATTTCAATAGCTCATTTTTTATTTTATGCAATACATTTAGATATTGATAAAGAAAACACAAAATAGTTTTCCTTATGAAAAATAAAGCAAAATGTCATAATAAACTAAGTAGAGAATAACAATGGTTAATAAATTGTGTATTAGGATTTTAAAAGAATGTCCAAAAAGTTACTTAATAGTTGTCAATAAAAGACTCTCACAAAGACAAAACAAACCTTTTATAGGGTAAGCCTTTCTTTTTCTTTTTTTTTTTTTTTGGTTTTTTGTGACAGGGTCTCACTACGTAGTTTAGAATGACCTGGAACTCACTTTGTAGCCCAGGCTGATCTAGAACTAACACTGATCCTCCTACCTCAGCCTCCTGAGTGCAGGGATTACAGGTGTGCGCCACCATGCCCAGTTTAAACCTTTCTTTTCAAAGAAAAAAAAAACTAGTGACATAATTCAACAAATTAACATATATCTTAAAATATTTTAGAAACAACAGAATATGTATTTGGGGGGATTATTTGAACTC